TCCTCATCTCGCTGCTGAACCTCTTTGATGACAGTGCTGTGCGTACTTCACACATCTTGGCACTGCTCAGTGTGAATGGGGATTTCCTCTTTAACTTTAGCCTTTTTTGTGTGTGTGGGTTTTTTTTTTTTTTCTTCAACACATTTGTCAGCAGTGTGTCTTGGCAAGAAGTGTAATAAAAGATTTTATGACTCTTAGGCATAGAGACACCAGAATTGATTTTAAATCAGTACTTTTTACACTGAACAAGATAATAAAAACCAGTTGTTTTTACCCTCATTCATCATGAGCTGAACTCATAGATCTTTTATTGTGGCCAGCCTAAGGTAAACCTGTGCAATATACATGCTGTCTGATCAGCATCTTGATATGCCACACCTGTGAGGTGGATGGATTATCTCTGCAAAGGAGAAGTGCTCACTAACACAGATTTTGACAGATTTGTGAACAATATTTGAGAGAAATAGGCCTTTTGTGTACATCGAGAACGTCTTAGATCTTTGAGTTCAGCTCAGGATGAATTTGGGCAAAAACAAAAGAGTTGCATTTATAATTTCAGTGTATAAAGAGACAACAAACATGGAAATATATTGGATCCCGTTTTTTCACCAAGACTAGGATATTTTTGACCATGTATAAATAGTTTAAATTCTAATAGGCGAACACTGCAGTGAGAGTTTGTTCCAGTCACTGGCTCTCGATCATGCTCTTCCCTTCTTTTCTTTCTTCCTGCAGAAGACGGAAGTAAACATGCTGCTGTTTATAGCAGATAACCTGGCCTGTTTCCCCTACCAGAGCCAGGAGGAGCCTCTCTTCATCATGCACCACATAGACATCACCCTGTCTGTTTCTGGCAGCAACTTGTTGCAAACCTTCAAAGAGGTAGGACAGCATTTTTTTTTTTCTTTTGCAAGTAGCCTGCATGTAAAATGCTTAAGAGGGTAGATGTTTTTCTTTAATAAGAATTAATATGGATTTTTTAAAAATCAATTTCTCCCTTCTAGCTTCTGCTAAAAGAGCCTAGGCGTAAGGAGAAGGTAAAGAAGGAGTGGAAGAACATGTCAGATGGGGAAGATGAAGAGCAAAAGATGAACTGCGATTCTCTGAGGAGTGATGAGGAAGATGACAGCAACAGTGATGACGATGTGGTACGGCGGCCTAAAAAAGCCAGAAAACCTGTTGCAGACAGCTCAGAGTCAGAGACCGATCTGGAGGATCTGGATTTGGAGGATGTAGACAAAGTAATGAGGCTCCTCCCAGACAGTCCCACAGGTCTCTTGGACTTCGCTAATGCTGTTCAGGGCATCCTGTTGCTACTGGTGCTCAAACAGCATCTGAAGAACCAATATGGATTCTCTGACAGGTATTTCTATACAGCTATCTTAACAAATACACATGAAGTTTTCAGTGTGGATTATTTTAACCAGTTCAGACCTTCAGCCGCGCCGGTAATCCCATGACCTCTGTAACTTGAAATATTTTTTGTCTTCCAACAGTAAAATTCAGAAGTACTCTCCAACAGAGTCAGCCAAGGTGTACGATAAGGCAGTGAACAGAAAAAACAACGTTCACTTCCACCCACGACAAACCATCGACTTCATCTCCAACAACATGGCTCACGCCACACTGACAAACGATGTCAAGAGGCGGATAGTCAGACAGTACCTAGATGTAAGTAATGAAGCTGGATCTGAATCGGGTTAATTTCCAGTGTTTAATGTACATCACTGATTGTAAGTTAAGTTGTTTTGGGTTGTATTATTGTCTTTCCTCTTACCAGTTACTTACATCCGTATTTAAATAAAAAAGTGATTTCTAATTATATGCAGAATAATTTACCATTAAGCTGCCTTTAACTCCTAAGGCTGGACTCTAACTTGTGTCTACTTAGGCCGAACTGCTGTGGCTGGCCCTACTGGCTTGATGGGGCAGTATCTTAACGCCATTGCCCGCTTATTAGTCCAGCCGTCATCCAAATAGTTATTAGTTATACCAGAAAACGTTACACTCCGTTCTCTGACCGAGTGCACCTTTTTAAAGCATCCTTGAATCTTACCCTCACACAAGTAAGGAGCAGATAATCGGCAGCATGGCCTGACCTGGCTGCCACAGCTGTCTTGAAAGGCAATTTCTGAATCCCTGTCTGGTTTGCCAAAACCAGTTTCCTTCTAAGAGCTGTCATTTCAGTTACATTTGTCTGAAGAGCATGGCCGCTTGCCATACTTCTAGTGCCACTTTATATGACTTTTTATTTTTCTGACATCTGTGGGGATGTGTGTTACCCTTCAAGTCATTCAGTACCACTTAGTTTGCATAGTTACCCCAGCTCTGTTCTGTCACATTTGGTTCTTAGAGGTCAATGTTTAACTGCAGAGTGTGAAACTTGTGTCTGACAGTTAGTTTCTTGTCTTTTCACTGCGCACAGTTCAAGGTTCTGATGGAACATCTGGACCCAGACGAGGAGGATGAGGAGGGAGAAGCATCTGCCAGCGCTAACATCAGAAACAAAGCCATAAACGCCCTACTGGGAGGCTCCGGCCCCTTGTCAGGACCCAGTCCGCGCAATCAGGCAGGACCAGAGACGGATGACGATGATAGTGATGGCGACGAAAGGACCCCAGGGGTGAGATGGATAGATGGATACACTATTTGTAAAATACAATTGAAAAATGTGGCAGAAAATAGTGCAACCATATTTCTCCTGTGCTCTCCGCAGTCCTCTCGAAGGTCAAGGCGAGCAGGTGACTCCTCGGACCCTGGCCGTATGAGTGAGACAGTGGAGTCTATGGATGTGATCGCCCTCTGCTGCCCCAAATACAAGGACCGGCCGCAGATAGCCCGAGTCATCCAGAAGACCTCCAATGGATACAGCATCCACTGGATGGCTGGCTCCTACTCGGGGCCCTGGGCAGAGGCCAAGAAACGTGATGGCCGCAAACAGGTGCCTTGGGTGGACACTATTAAGGAGTCGGACATCATTTACAAGAAGATTGCCTTGACCAGCAACCACAAACTGAGCAACAAAGTAGTACAGACTTTACGCTCACTATATGCAGCGCGGGAAGGAGGGGCTAGCTAATGGCTCCCGTGTGGTGTTTTGGTTTTTTTTCTTTTTTTTTTCTTTCCTTTTTTTTTTTTTTGGTCCCCTTGCTCCATTTCTACTTTATCAAAATCCTCCTCTTCCCTGCTCCTGCTCCTCCTCCTCAACCTGCCACCTCCAACGACACAGCCAAACTTCACTGGATTCCTACCCTCCTCCTCCTTCCTCATTTTTGTAAGAAAACACAAGAGAGCAAGAATATTTGACACTACATACTTTTACATGAGCTATTCTTGCAAAAATGAAAATGACACAAAACATAAGACTTATTATATTAGAGGGACTGCTCATGTTTTGTTTGTGTACAAGTGCAGAGGATAGAATCCAGAAGGCATTAAAGGAATAATTCACCCAAATTATCCCTTAAAAAGGCTTATCAGAAAAGAGACCTGGAGGGAAATGTTTTGTCAACATTGTTGTGGGAGCTCCTTCGCTGTTGTGCAGCAGATTCTAGTCGCTCATTTCTACTCCCACTGTATCATAGTTTAACAACAAAAAAGTAAAATGTTTATATCTGAAGACAAAAAAGCTGTAAAAAAAAAAGAATAAAACCTTAAGTGAATGTTGGAAATTAGTCTTTTTGATGTTCTTATTAAAGTGTTTTTGGAGTTTATTATACTACTAGCACCCTGATGGTTTTTCCTTTTAGCTTTTAGATATTTGAAGGAAAAAGAAGAAAAAAGAAAAAAATAAGAATTTTTATTTTTGTTCACTTTTATTTGTCCATGCTGTACAATGGCAGAGTCCTCTGGATATAATTTATTCTATTTCGAACTACGCATGCAGTATATGTGGCCTATTGCAGGAGGATATTTTGTAAATGTAGATTTTGTTGTATTAGGTCACCCTAGTAATAAGAGGAAAGGGGATTCATACCCTTTCGGTGGAACAAATACTGCAATAAATTTTCTACTTCTCTTTGTCACTTGTCTGCTGAAAGTGTTAATCTGATCTTTTCATTTTGCAAGTGAAGAAAAGTAAATGACCTGGAGACTGCTAAAGCACAGACAGGCTTGAAAAGACATAGAGGGTTGATCATTTGCACATGAGGGGGAGAGCCTACAAAATGACAACAAACCACCATTTTATTAGTATTTATGTACATTAGTTTTCTTTCTTTTGAAATCTAAGTATGGTCATAATGTGAGTTAATTGTTTCTAAAATATTTGAATATACGACTTTTTTTTTTTTCAACAAATTGTGAAGAATTGCGGAGAATCAGATGACACCGCTGAAGAAGAGCGAAAATCAATGACTGTTTATGTTGTTTCATTGTGCTTTTTTCTTTTTTATACTAGCTGCATTTAGTACATAAGACAGTGTTGGTGACAGATCTGCCGACACATTCAGGACTATTATAGTCATAGGTTGTACAATAAGAAATACTGATACATTTGAAAGGCGGACCAGCTTCTTTGTTGTCCGGTATGTTAACAATATTTCAATATTTAAAAAGTACAAAATTGCAATACAATGTACTTCAGATAGACATGTAAAAACAACTAGAAGACTGAGAACATAAATGTGCGTGTGTATACACACATCAAAACATTATATGGGATTTTTAAGACCCATATGGATTTTGATATTTGATATTTTTAACTCCAAAATGTAGGCTGAAATTCTTTTTTTCTTCCTTTCAGAAACACATACCATAAAGAAAGATTACCCATAACATTTGTCATGTGTTGTAGTTACAAGACATCACCAAGACATGATGTAATGCAGCTTATCTTTCCCTCACGTTTGTCGTATTTTTTTATAGAGAGCTCTTCAAGCCTTCTTGGACCAAATCGCTCTCCGTACTCTGGTGACGTTACAGTTTGAAGTTTGTATACATTTGGCGGGACTACTCGGTTCATCTTGTAAACATTAGCTCTCGCTTTTAACCTCCGAACTATGGAGCGGTACGTCTTAAACTCGCTATAAAATCACGTATTTGATATTTAAATGATGTAAATGACCGTGAAACAGCATTCTGACAAACAAGTTGTTTTGGGAACTTGGCGAAGGCGTTGCCAGCCAGCCGCCGTTATTGTGTATTTCTGTTAGCCACATTTAGCTAATGCTAGCTTACTTACCGTTATAATTGAGTCAGCTGTGTGTCACCTTACAACGATTTAGTTTGAAAACGATCAATTCTGCGTTGAGCTTTGTTTAGTTGGGTCACTAAACGAGTAAATGACATTACACTGAGATTCTGACGGACTTGAAAGGACGTTCGCTAAGTTAGCTTTGACCATATCCACCGCATTCATTTAGAAATGTAGCTTATTATATAACGTTACCGATTTATGTATTTTGGTCTTGAAACAATAGAATAACATTCATGAACGACGTCTGTTTCTTTTTTTGTAATAACTTGTGTTTAGTGGAAGGATGAGTCGAGTAACAGGCAGACCATCGGAGCTGCCTATGCGGTTGCAGGACAGCAACAGGATGAGCGTGGCGTATACAACACCCCAGAGGTTGGTTTAAAGTATCTTTCTTATAAAGAAATGTAATACTTTCTGACATAGTTATTGTGGTGGGTATAACAACACAGCAATTATGCACTGTTCGATGAGCCGGTGAAGAAAGATGAAAAATGGATTAGTGGGAGCTTGCTCAAATATGAGTCAGCAAGTGAAACATGCATTTGTTCACAGTTATGTCTCTTTACAGTAAACAGCCTTCTTTTGGGAAGCTGAACATACCCAAACCGCAGTCTGGGACCTCTGAAAGGCGGACCAGCTTCTTTGGTGCCCGGTATGTTAATAATATTTCAGAAAAGTACAAAATGACAATACACTGTTCAGCAAATAGAGGAAACAACATGCCAGGGTTACTAGAAGTAAGGGGTTTTAGTTACAAAAGTAATCTAATTCAAGCAAAGTAAAGAATAATTTAAAATTTAACAAAGGTAACTGGTAAAACATAGTGCCAGGCTAACTAGACATACAAAGAGACAACAAAGCAACACAGAGTGGTGCTGGTGATGAGGGAGAAGCCCCAACAATCACGAAGGGGCGGGTTTTATACAGTCTGGGGACAGTGGCCAGCAGCCTCCCATTTCCCTGATGGTCTCAGCTCAACTCCACCAGGAAGTACACTCTACAACAGACACACACACACACCCTCTCAGAGGCCATAGGGCTGTTACAATAATACTTTGAGCAAAAGTTCAGCTGCTGTTTTGTGGTGTTCCACACATGTGGCCAACACGGGAGTTGCATAGCTCCGGTGGACAAACTATGCAGTGACAACATTCATAACAACATGGTATAAATCCTCTTGCATCTCTCAGTTTCTTTTTAATTGTCATTTATCAGCTGTTATAAACACCAATACCAATTTATCTACTATTGGCATGCTCATTAATCAGTTGGGCTCTAACTGATTAATGACAGTAGTAGTAAGATGAAGTAAAATAATGAAACGTGCAGTCTTTACCTTGTGCAGAGAACTTCTGTATACAAGTCGCCTGTGAATATGACCCCAGAGAGAATAATACCTCTGGGAAAACCTCAGCTGACTGAGTGTTTAGTTTCTTGCTTCAGAGGTGTGGTAAAAGGTACTGAAAGGAGTTTGTTTGACTGCAGGACTAGTGGAGCCAGCATGCCTCGCAACAGCATGATGTCAGGGTTCGGAGGAACTGAGAAGATCAAAGACGCCAGACCTCTGCATGATAAATCCTATGTTCAGCAATGCATCAGACAACTGCATGAGGTAACACACACTTTATTTATATGTCATTTTTAGACACACAGAAAGGTTTGTCTGGTTTAACATCACAATGCTCTTTATCTACAATACATCAAACATACTGAATGGGATTTGAAGATCTTTGACTTTAATGCCACATAGTGGTTGTATCCAAAAAGTCACTGTGGTAGACAGCAACATACACCTCATTTCGTTGAACTGCTGCGTACTACTGCAACACCCCTTTGTCTGTGTTTGTGTGATGGACACATTTACCACACAAATGTCTGAGGGGCTTTCAGTTATACATTTTACCGCTGATATCTACTTGCGTGTGACATGGCATTAAAGCTGAATATTTTTTTGTACCATTTGCAGCGAAACTGTAGCAGAGGTGTTTATCAATATGAGTGGGAATCATCGTACTGTGAAGCCTGATATTCTCTCTTTCTAGTTCTTGACAGAGCAGGGTTACCCAGGCACTTTGTCAGCCAAGACCCTCCAGTCTCCCTCTACCAAGGAGTTTGTGAAGATGTTTGAGTTCATCTACCGCCTGTTAGACCCAACCTTTGAGATGCCGAACTCAAAAGTTGAGGAGGAGGTTCCAGCTATCCTGAGAGCCCTTAGGTAAAATGCAATTGTTTAGTATTATTAGTATTTCTTTGAAAATCTGGGATGGGCCTAGATTCAACAATGCACAAAACATTCATCAAAAACAAAAATATAAAAATAAAGGTCACAGAAAATACAAAATGAGAGACTTTCTTTAAGTAAGGCTACAGCATATAACAATCATTGTTCAGCAAATCTGTACATGTGAGTAATTTCCCATTTGTTGTGTTCATGTTTGCTCCTCTTCCACAGTTTTAAGAAACATTGCTGACTGTCGCTGTCTTTATTTTTCTGCCTGTTTCTGGTGAAGGTATCCATTTGTTCTTTCCAAGTGTTCAATGTATTCTGTTGGAGCTCCCCACACCTGGCCTCAGGCCCTTGGTGCTCTCATGTGGCTAATTGACAACGTCAAGGTGAGAAGCAAACAGACTTTTTAATGGGATCAACTGTGGAGCGTTATCTTCTAACATCTGATTGATTTGCATAGGACGCAGAATACAACAAAAAGAACACACTCTGTTTCAGATCAGCTGGAGTTTGAGTAAGCAGGAGCTCCTCTTCAGTGACTTCTGTGAAGACAGTGACAATATCGAGGAAGGGGCTGAGTATAACAAGGTACTCCGACTTCTTTATACAGCATCATGAGGCATAAACACAAAAAAGCATATGTAGAGACCTTACAAGAAGATGTACTGTACATCTTCTCTCTGTATTTTTGACCAGAGTCAACATCAACAGAATAGAACATTTTTTGTCTAGTTACTCTTATTTTGTTGTTTTCTGTCTAAATCTAAACATTAGTGTGTGTGTGTGTGTGTGTGTGTGTGTGTGTGTGTGTGTGTGTGTGTGTGTGTGTGTGTGTGTGTGTGTGTGTGTGTGTGTGTGTGTGTGTGTGTGTGTGTGTGTGTGTGTGTGTGTGTGTGTGTGTGTGTGTGTGTGTGTGTATTTTTTAAATCTTCTCTTTCACTTTGTTCTTCAGCTCTTCCTGGACTTCACAGCTGAGACATACAGCAAGTTCATGCAGGGTGATGACACATTTGATGATGAGGATGAAGCGTTCCTCAATAAACTAAGTAAGCACAGTATCTCTCTTTGAAACATAATCACATAATGAAAAAGATTCCATGTGTATTTGAGCATACTGTTCATTTAGTTTAATTTATATTTAAAATTTTAAGGAACAATTAAGGAGTTCCATTAACATAATGATACTGGAAAAATCGACAAGAAGCGTGCGTGTTTGTCTTCACAGGGAAGCTTTACAATGTCGATGAAACCCTACTGGCCACGATGGAGGAGAAGCACAGAATGCTTACTGATGAGGTTGAACGACTGGAGAAGGAGAGCCAGACGGTCAGAAGACTTTTATATTGATGTATCCCCATGTGTAGAGATTAGATTAGATTTTAAAATCTTGATACTTCAACTACCGTTAATTATATTCAGTGAGAGTGATTGTACTGCATTAAGTGGAAAGGGTGAAAACCTGAGCATGGTCAAAAACAAAAGAAATACTGCAGGAAAGGAAATGGAGATATTTATGACTAAATGTGTTAAGCTGTAGGTGAAATATTTTTAGCCTTTGGGCTGTAATGGGTTGTGCACTCGATTGTGCCTAGTTCTGTCAGTAATACAATACCTCTTCAGTGTGAGCTATCAGACAGATAATCGTCTGTCTCTTTTTACTGGACAGGACCGTCTGGGGACCAAGAGGATGGATAGGATGAAGCTGCAGGCAGACCTCAAGAAGCTCCAGAGTTATCGAAGCAGCCTGGTGTCCTTTAAAGCCGACCAGGAGAACAAATTTTCAAAACTGAATGATGAGCTGGAGACCACAGGTAAATACAGGTGTTAAATGTAACCGTTTCAGTCAGCCAGTTCTTTGCCAGGATGCACTGGATCCTGGCAAAGAATGTCTATACAGGCTTCACAAAAATCTTCCTAGATTACTCGACACATTCATCGAAGCCACGACGTGGAAGGACGTATCACTAATCTACACTTTACAGTGTTTTTGAAACTACTAACGGTGCAGAGTGCAAACATTCAGTTTCTTGCTGTCAACCAGTAATTATTCAGTGCCAAAAAAAGCTCCCACTGAGCAACATAGTTCTTTAAACATTATTCAGGTTCATTTTGGCACATGGTTACCTGGCTGTTTAAATAGACTGTCACAATTTGGTTTATTGGGTCTTTATACAATAGCATGTTTTTCCTCTCTGTCCATCTGCAGTCAGTCATCTGGAGTCTCTGAAACATGAACGAGATGAACTGCAACAACAGCTACAGAACCAGAAGTTCACACCAGCTGACGTGGAGAGGATCAACAGAGAGAAGAGGGAGCTCCAACAGACCATCTCCAGTCTCAGCAAGTCTCTTGAAGACGCTGAACAGCATAAGTGGAATGAAGAGATCGCTCTGGCCAAAGTGAAAGAAAAGGTATTGTGTATCATACTCATCATGATAAGAGATTCTTCTTAATAGTTGGAATTAAACTATAATATTTTACATCAGTGTTTTTTTGCTACCCACTTGTAGTCAGTATAAATTGATAAAAGCAGATGTTTTTCATCCAGTGGCACACATGTTGACCTTTTGATTTGTGTCGTTTCCTTGCCCTCCCGTGTCTGTCCTGTCCTCATAATTCCCTCAATTCCAGGCGGAGTTGAAGCTTGCGGAGTACCACAAGCTGGCACGTAAACTGAAGCTGATACCACTGTCTGCAGAGAACGCCTGTGGTCAGGATTTTGAGATGAGGCCGTTTGAATGTGGACCCGGCAGCATGGTTCAGCATAAATCTCAGAAACAGGTCCTTCCAGCTAATGATCCTGTTTACACAACAATTTGAATCGGTTGATTTTGATCTTAATTCAGTTCAGTTTTTTTATGTGATTTTGGTGTTCTAATGGTGATCTGTGCTGTAGATGCTCCTGAGAAAGCTGATCAGTGATGTGGAGGAGGAGAACAGTCGATTAGCCAACGTGAAACTCAGTCTGGAGGAGTCTTGTGAACAGGTATCCAAATTATGTTGGCACTATTAATTTTTCCCCACACTGACACACAATATTACTGAAGTACATCTCTCTTTTTTTTTTAAATCACATATTCTTATTAGAAAAGGCATTTACTGTATGTGTGTGTGTGTGTGTGTGTGTGTGTGTGTGTGTGTGTGTGTGTGTCTTGAAGGTGGATTCTAACATCTTGGATAAGTCCAATGACCTGAAGCAGCTGAGAGAGCAGATTCGCAAGCTGGATGAACGATTGGATTTGGACATGCAGGTACAGTCCATGTAGTTCCGTCTGCTGTATGTTGGCAGAAATGCCACGTTACTACATGCAAAGTTGGCATCCACTAAATGGTACACATGGAACAAATGTAACCAAAGTTAGACAAGATGGTATTTCTTTTGGTGTCAGTTCAGCGCTGAACTATTTGTCTTCTAAACTGAAAAACAGGAATGAGTTCACACTTGATTGGTGACATACAGAAAATGCACAGCTGCCAAATACATGTACTAACAACAGTTTCCTGTCTGTTTTATGCTTGTATAGGAGCAGGCCAGAGAGGAACAGCACTGGGCAGAAGAGATGGAGTCAGTGGAGAACCATCGTAAGGTTCTTGAGAAGAAGGTTAATTATGGTTACGACGAGGCTATGCAACAGCTGAAGGCAGCACAACAACAGTGAGTGACTATTATGTATTTACCTGAATAATTTATGTCTTAAGGATTACTTTAACCTGCTCGAGCCTATGGCCACTACAAAATGTCTAACGGCCCTGAAAATACTGTTTCAACCTTGATATCTAAGCTTAATTTGTTAACATTCATAATATTTTCTGTCAGATTGAATGATAGATTTTTTTTGTTTCTTCTTCAGGTATCACCTGGTGCTGCAGGAGACCAATGAGGAGAGACGAACACTGGCCAACAACCTTGCGTCTGTGTTTACCACAGCTGCTAACCACTTGTCAATTACAGAGGTAACTTTCTTTTAACTCTGCATCTGAAAGAATGTGTATCTTCGGCATACTTTAAAGGAGAAATAAAATTACTGTGGTTTAGATGTGACTGTAGCCATCCTAGACTCAATCTGCTGACTTACCATGAAGAAAAGTTCTGATTATATGATTTACGCAAAAGAAAGTATATCAAAATGGCACTTTTTGGCTAAACAGTAATTCCTGGCCTGATAGTAGCTCATGTTGTATCTGTACCTGTATGTATATTATTCTAATAGATTAAAGTATAATATAAGACATAATATATGGTTCCTGTTCAACAGAAGTCCATGGAGGATCTGCACAGCAAAGTGCAGAGGATCTGCTCTAAGGCTGTAGAAGAGGACGAGGCAACTATACAGACCATGCAGCAAGCTTTGAAGAACTTCAAAGCCAAAGCAGACGGTGTATAATTCCTTATGCCTCAGTATGGATGTCTTTTTCTGTGTTTTGTGGACAATTTTAGCTTTGTTGGTTCTCACTCACTCTCTCATTCTCTCTCACTCTCTCCTGACGTTTTTATCCTAAAGTTTTGATATTTTAAAAAAAATAAAGCTTGTTCTGTTCAAAGTTTTCTTGTATTTTTGCTTTGGAGCAAACTTTGATGGGTAATTGATCAGATGGTAAAAACTTGAAAGAGTAATGGTAATAATAAAAGCAATAACAGACACTAGACTTGGATTGGATACTTTATTCGAATACTGCATAAAAAGAATAAAAATCAATGTTGCTGCTAATTATTGGCCAAAAAAAATCCACTTTTAATATACAATAATTAATTCATGTTTTGTTTTTCCATTAATAAAAACAGTGGTATGTAAAAGAACTGACATTAAAAGGGTTGAAATTTTGGTAGTTAGATTCAGGACTGATGTTGATTAAAAGATTTATGGAAATTAAAGGAGAAAATAATAATGGATAGTATTTTTAATGCAGCACACACCTCTGGCTGCTAAAATTCAGTGGAGAGGTTGCTTGTTGGTTCATGAACAAAAACACTGGTCTTTTTGTTATTTCCCCTTCTATTTCCCCCTTGTCTGGAGGAATGGAGACAGAGGCACCACTGTACAGTTTTCCAAGAGAAGTGTTTCTGCCGGCAAAGTCCTAATAATTTGTCCACGTAAAATATTGGCAATTTCAGCACCATATTCACATGTCCATAACATACTAAAATGTTGACTGAAATTGCCTCATAATCTGGATTTGGATTGTCCTATTGTTGTAATTAAACTTTCCCAGTATTCCATTGAAACGCTCAAATGAAAAACACCAGAAAGAATAAACTGGCCCATAGTCCAACATGCACTCTTTCAAATGAAGATGTAAATACATTTTGGGGGCTCAGTGTAATGGGTCAAACAGTTTGACAGATTTTGAGAGAAATGTCTGCAGCTATCTGTCTGCTACTCTCAATCATGTTTCCCAGACAACTATAAGTCAAGGACTTTTCAATCATGTTTCCCCATCAACTATAAATCAATGGCTTTTCAATATCACATAATTTCCCGGTCAACTATAAATAGATGACTTTTCAATCATATTTCCAGGTCAACTATAATTCAATGACTTTTCAATCATATTTCCAGGTCAACTATAATTCAATGACTTTTCAATCATATTTCCCGGTTAACTATAATTCAGTGACTTTTCAATAATGTTTCCCAGTCAACTATAATTCAGTGACTTTTCAATATCATGTAATTTCTGGTCAACTATAAATAGATAGATTTTTCAACATTGTTGTTGTTACCCAGTCAACTACAAATCAATGCTTAATCAAGTATAATCGGTATAACTACAACTGTAACTATAAATCAATATTATTCCAATGTCACGCTCATACATGGTCGTTTTTCATCGGTATTGCAATACTGATTCAACATTTATTTAGGGTTGAGATTTCAATCTCAACCATTCTGATGATTCAGATGGAAAATCAATATTTATTCAATATAGTCTTGCTATCTGGTAACGTAAAACATATATTAGAGATTAATTAATTTGCATGAATAAAACTAACATATGTTTGTATATATGAGTATATTTACCAGAAAAAACTACAAATCCCCATATGCACAGCATCCTACAGTATGATGTTCCATTGTGTTTCCTTATTTGCCCTTTAAACATTGATTTCTGTGTTAATTTATTAAAGAATTCCATGTTTTCTTTGCACTGTATACTACTGTGCGTTTAAGCAAATTAGTGTTTCCCTTGCCTCTGTCGCCTTTCTGGTGACATATGAATAATAAATAATAAAATAAAGTAGAAGTGCAGCAATCATCCTTCAACTTTTAGCCAGTTAAGCATGCTATTGATGTTAGTGCTATACCTGGAGTTTGTTTAAATAATTTTTAATGTAGCATTCACCCATATTATCTGGCAGTAATCAAGCTGCAAAAGAATAAGAGTACTTAGTACAAGTTTTGTTTAGAGTATTTTATGCATCGCCTTGCTACAGCTAGAGCCTTCTTTTGACCAGGACCTTGTTAGAACTGCAGAGGTTATGGTGAAAAACATTTGGTCATTTGTTTATAATGAGCAACAAATTTAGATTACAGACACGTCTGGATCATCATCATTTTGCACCATCATACTCTATATGTCAAAGGTGAAGAATATCATTGTGGGATTTGTAGCATAAAGCGTACATGATAGGGATACAGCGATTTTGTTGCATAGATCCAGTCCACTGATGGTGGACTGGGACAGATGAATCCATTCTTTGGCATTCATGCAAGTGGATTACAGAGGTGAGCACGGAAAATGATCTTTCAAGCAAGTCCATATTTCTTCAATTTATTTCTCTGTCAAATTCCGTCAGTCTTACATCCACTTAAACGATGACCATCTTTTATTTTTGTTTGGATTGAATTTGACACTTTTATTTGTAGTGTGATCAACCAATTGTGGAAAATTTAAAGGTATCTTTAACACACTAAACAAGTTAATCAGTTTATGTTGCTCTGTAGCATTACGTTTAGTTTTTAGATTGACAACCGCACATAGCCAAGTCTGGTTTCAATGACATCTGACGTTATTTTTTGCACAAATCTCGGCCTGGATTGCTCCTTACATAGAATGAGATGGACCTGGTCCACACGCAGCATTACTCCTGGGTTTGGAAGCAGTATATGTTGCAGGGCTTTCTCCAGGAAATGGCTAGCTCAAATAGTGGCATCAGCAGCTAGCAGTGGTACTTTGTGTGGCAGCCTGAGATGCCACAGACTTACTGGGGCACTTTTGGAGTTTTTGAAACACTCAGTAGTATTATTCACTAGCAATGACAGACCTCATCAAATGGGTGCAGGCTGACATGCATAGTAAAACCAAATCAGTACCAATAGAAAGTTAGTCTTTTGCAGTAAAATAAAGTTTATAAAATAAAAAGTGAATATAAATTGACAGTGAAATCAACATTAAAAACATTGTCAAATTAAAACCATTAAGTGATTATATTTTTGAAAATGTGTAGAAACTTACTTACAGCAAAGTATAGTTTGTACTAACAGCAAAGTATAGTTTGTGCAGGGATGTGCAGTGTGAGAGTCAGGTAAACTATAGACTAGGATTTTTTTTAATAAAGGTTAAAAAGTCTTTGTCCATTATGTTTAAACACAGTGATTTAAATCCTCAAATGATGATTTGTCTTCAGATCGAAAGGGATTATATTATAGACTTTCCAAAAATGCAGAAGCAACAAGTCTCTGGTTCTTTCAAGGTCTCTAAAAAACATGTTGAAAAAAAGTGTTTACGCATAAATAAGACTGGCATAGTGATGCATGGTGTAGAAAAGATGATGGAACTTTTTTATATCTGAAAAATGTGTTTATCTTTGCCCCTTTGTACAAAGTCTCTTTCAACCACAAGGTGGCAGCATTTATCAAATTATCTCCACTGTCGTCCTGCAGCTCTATGTGCATCACTTGCTGGACAGAAAGTAACAAATGGCTGAAAAAGTTAACCTGTAATTCTGATATAGTACGGTATATAAATATTTGTTTTCACCTAAATTAACATTGTATTACTGCTGTTTGTATTTGAGTTGTTTTACCTTTTAATATAAAAAGGAAAATTTGTAAAGACTTTTTTTTAATTTTATCTTCTTTTATGATGCATCTATAAGAATTTGGTTTAAGAAAGTACAGGTTTATGCTTAAATTTTTTTTTCCTGTCTGTAATATCCTGATATGCTGATAAAACATGTTTCTTAGAGACCAGTGGCGGTTCTAGACCAATTTTATTGATGGACCGCAGCCTCCTGCCAGAGGGGGGAGTCTGCGATGTCCGGGATGGGAGGGGTCAGCTGCAATCTTTTGTGAAGAGATAGAAGGAGACAACCAGTCACCTTCTCTGCAGAGCGAATGATATGCTGCAGCATGCCCTTGTCCCTGGCAGTGGCAGCAGCGTAACAGATGTTGATGGAGAAGGTGAAGATGAACTTGATGATGGCGGTATAGAAGTGCACCATCATTGTCTTTGGCAGGCTGAACTTCTTCAGCTGCTGCAGGAAGTACATCCTCTAACAAGTCCTGCAGATTGAGAGAAGAAATGCAGAAAACATTCAAACTAATTTTGCAGGGTGAGGCAGCTCGAGGAAGATCCAACAAAACAGTATTTAATCTTTGAAAAACATTTAGTTTTTTCCTTGACAGTAACATTCCAAGGTCACAGTGTGATTGGGGCATGTGATCAGTGCATGTGAGAAACACATTATAAGTTGCTGATTTTTAGGATTTCACTGTAATTAACTTGAAATTAGCATTGGTCACAGGGTTTCTATTCCTAATCAACCAAAGGGTTGTCTGACTTACAATAAACATCGGCTGACATGTATGTGAGAGTTTTAACATAGACTAATCAAGAAGTAGGGACACAACTCTGATGCCACGTACATTTGCATTCTTTTGTCAGCCCAGGAAGAAGCTTTTGAGTGTATGCTAATACTCTGCCATTTGTTTCCCCTTGTCCTGACAGTTTACTATTGGCTGTTCTGTACTTGTTCTGTATTTAAGAAGAGGAAATGCTGAGTTCAGGAGAGTAACCTGTGCGTTCTCTCCGTGGCCACGTTACATAAAGAAATCATTCAACACATCTATTTGACTCCGTATTCTTTGGGAATGAATTATTTTCCCTGACATGCATTTATTTCATTTCCTGTTAGAACAAAATGTGTGTAACTGCATGATTTATTGTGAACTGCAAAAACAGTAGACTTTGACAATGCAAGCGCTTCCATTTGTATGTACTATGGGACTGGGACACTGGTCTCCCCCCTTTAAGTTTGCACTTCCTGTCTAAAAGTATTTTACAGCTGTTCAAGTTTTCATGCTCTATATTTGTTACCTGTTCACAAACGGTCCAGCAACACCCACCAACCCTTAAAGTAAGTGGACCTCAGTCCTAGACAACATATTAGGCATTTATGTGTTCAGAATTTAAAGGGACATTATGCAGTTTCCAGCGGCCACTAGCGGTGCGGTTCTAAGATTGCAACCAGGTTTGTGCTCGTACACGTGCTCGCTTGAACTCACGAGCGAGCATAATCCAAAACACAACCACTGTCATACAGAAATCCTGCAATAAACGCAGAAACACCTGCAGGCAGGCTGTGGCTTCTCACACAGACATGTTCAGGCTCTGTTACTTCAACGTTCCCGTCTCAGAGGCAGATCAACACCGGCGTGGTACCTTTCATTCAGCGCAGCGAGCCGCATATCAGCACAATACTCCCGAAAAAAGGCAGAGTGACAGCGGCTATAGACAGGCAGAGAGAACAAACAGAGCTGGAAACTCCCACTGCAACGTTACAGTAATATTTTTATCAGCTGCAGGTTGAACTAATCCATGCTCGTTACATGATCACAGTACATTTAATGCATTTAGCAGACGTGCTACATCGTTAGCTCGCCCGCTGCTTTCAGTAACTGTCTTTACTATCTGTGAATCTGTCTCTGGAGGCTCAGCAATGTCAGCACAGCTACATGTACTGGATGATAATGAAACGGTTAGTGAGCTGGACTGAATATTTTAAGGAGACTGTATCACACTTTATAACAGTTGGTCAGTAACTTCACTGTAACTAGTGTTAGTGGATGGCTCTTCCTTCCTCGTGACTGTTTTGTTGCAGTGTTTTATGTTATGTGGGTGACGTTAGTTACGACTGAGAGGTGGAGAAGCTGTGTACCTGAGTATTGGTAAAACCAAAATAAACATAAACTGAATGTTACAAAGAAAACAGCGGCAGGTCCGAGCTACTGTAGTGTTAGCTGGCTGCTCCTGGCTGCATCACTATTGGCTAACGATAGTAAACAAATTGCTCCACATTTGCTTTTTGCCGTTTCATCCTTTCTTGCAGACTAAATCAACAGTGGTACACATGATAGTAACATGGGTGGCATTAGTTGGTGAAGTAATGTGGAAAGCTAACGTTATATAACTTTGCACCGGATAACATTAGCAACTGCTCTGCGTTAGCCGGCGAGCTAACGTGACTTTCTCTGTGTTTCTCCAATTTTACTAATGCTCACTTTGATCTTACTGTGCATCATCTGAACCTGTTTGGTCTGATTGGCTTCAGCACATAAACCTTTATTGTTGTTTTGGATCCTTACGTGAAGCGTGTGTTTTGCTGTGAGCCGGTTGTTTTATGGTGTTAGTGGGCTGCCGTGTTGTCGCTGTAGTCTGAGAGAGGCTCAGGAGCGCGCACAGGGCTGAATCGGACCCAGAGACCTCACATTAAAAGCAGAATAGTGGCTGATGCAAGCAACGGAGAAAACAGCGTGTGCTTCATTTCTGAGTGAGTTTTGAGCCCACTGACAATAAGGCAATGACAATTTGATTTATTAAATTCAAAAACTTACATATAGCCCCTTTAAAATAACAAACTAATGACGAAAACATTTTATAAATTAAAAATCACTATTAAAATATGATAAATGCAATTGCCATGTAAATAAACATGTGGCATTAAATCAAATTTATATATTACTCCAACAAACAAGTAAATCTTCACGAGTCTGAGGGTCCCTCTGCGTTGATGTGGCTGGAGCTGGGTCTGTCGCTCTCTTACCAGGAGACTGGTTAGCGCCATGCAATTCTTCCTCCTTTGGGAGAAGCAGTCAGTAGGTTTGTTGTGAGGTATACAAATATTCTTCTTCCATTGGTACGACAATGTCAAAGTCAGAAATCAGAGCTTTGTTTATTATTATTTTGTTCTTGTCATGTTTCCTCCCACAGCACAGTCCTTCTGTTCTAACCAAAGAATGGATGTAACGTGCCTCTTTGGTGTCCTCCAGCGCTTGCATGATCGATGCAACCACCAGGTTCACCAGCACAAACTGGGCCATAACCACAAAACTGATGAGGTACAATGGAGAGACCCAGGAAAGGTATCTCATACAGCCATACTGATCAGGATGACATTCTCTTAGTGTGTCCTTGAGAGACACAAAGCAAGATTCAGAAAGGAAGAGGGACTGGCACACAGACTGGAGGCAACATTACAAAATCATTCTTACTTAGAAACCACAGTAATTATAATAAACTGACAACTGGAAACTAAATGGTACAGCAAAAGTTAGGATACAACATTATTGTAATGCTTTATTTTATGGGTCTGTAACGATTCCCCAAATGACTCCCTGAGAAGTTTCGTTGAAAGAAATGCTCCATTTTAATCAAATGTAATTATTAATTATTCTTCATATATGTTGAATTGTATGCTCCCTGTTAACAAATTGTTTAGCTGACCCCCTGTCCACTGACCAAAACACTCCCGAAATAAATGAATTGGAAGTTGCCAACACTGTTTCTATCTTCCCTATAATTAGAACCAATCTTTATTTACAGAACACTTCCCAGAAACTGTATGGAAAATTATTTGGAATCACAAACCCATAAAATAAAGAAATGTTTATGTTAGAAATGTTTCATTAATGAGGAAATTCGGACCTTGATGTCCCATAAAATATTTCTTGCTGAGCAGATTTATCAACTGACCTCATGCTGAGCACTAAATTTGTGGTATCTACTAGGCTGCCTCCTGAGGCTGACTCTTCTTGAGGATTAGCTAAAGGGTTTCCATAGAGCTCCACTCCCACCGCAGCATAGATGTAAAAGACGAATGAAAAGATCACATAAATTATTATTATTATAAATATTCCCAACTTGGAATCAAAATCAGCGTTAGATCTCCCGCACAACAAACACTAAAATGTAGATACTCTAAATTCTCAACCAGAGGCTGGAGCCTTTTTGTACCTCAACTAAAAGGAACTACTTTATATGAGACAGGCTATGATTACACACTTCCTCTATCTGTTGATCTTAAAAGGACTGTGTCCCTTTTAATTGATCAGTGATCACTTAATCCGGCTGTACAGCCAGCTTGAGTTTTATGACGGCCAAAAATTAGGCCCTATCTGATGTGATTAGTTTTTATTAACATGCAAATTTAAAAATAAAACTGACTGGCGTGCACAGCACGGTCGCAGGGTTTCTAGTGTGTAGACATGGGATAATATGACATCCAGAGATACCTCAGGGACAAAATCTTCATACTGTAATGTGGGTAAACATCAAGCACAAATACAGCAAGAGCACAGTTATCCCTGTGCAAAACCAAAAACTTTATATTGATTTATTTAGACAAAAGAATAAATAAACCCCTCAGTGTCTGTTCTAGAAGAACTTGTAGCTTTTCGACCTTCAGGACTGAAGAGAGACACAAGAGTTGTCACAGATAACTTTATATGTTTGTCACCCAAAGGTACCTTTAGAACTTCAGAAGATTTCACTTTGAGTGTGTATAGTACTGTGTGCTAGTCTGAGTATTCTACAAACTCTCAGGATGCTGGGATTAATGGGAACTATGCCTGCCATATTTATCTGGTGCAAAACGATGCTGACGATGGAAACCACGAGTACAGCAATGTCCAGCAGATTCCAACTAAACACACACAAAAGTCATTAAACACTTCAGGCGCTTACACACAAATGCAAATAAGAGAAACTAATTGCTTGCTCATTCTACAGTGTCACCTGATTTTTATGAATCTGCATATACCAAACGCCACAAGCTTCAGCAGGACTTCAGTAAACAGGATGAAGGTGACCACATAGAAGGAATACTCTGTAATCTTCCCTATATACTGAGCAGACACACAGGTTTATTCTATCGCCTCACAGAGTCAATGCAAATGCAAATCCAGTGATTGTGTGTGTGTGTGTGTGCATTACTGGAGGTTGATTGTAATGTTGGAGAGCCATTATCACAACATTGATGACAATAACGACAGACATGGAGAGCCCAAAAAGCTGCTGCTGCACAGAGAATGGATAGCTCGACATATGTAGGAGTACCGTGCGTAATATGGAATCTGTGCAGGATCTGGAACACACACACACACACAGATGCATTCAGATGTACACACAGACATAGAAGGGAAACAAATAACAAACACTAAAAACATTTAGAGCTGCTCTAATCAATATTATCATTACATCAACAATGGATCACATGGCTACATGCATGGAAAAGGAGTCACTCAAAGTGATGAACCCAAAGAGGCTTATCACACCATTCTGCATTCATCTCAAGTCTACAGAGCATTTCAATGTTGGTTTTATGGTCCACACTACTGTTTTGGTTCACTATTATCATCTCATCAATGTTACATCCAGCTGCAGCAGGCAGCTGTTTTTACCTCTGTTAAACCCATTGGTCTAAACCAGTCCGAATACATGCATCTCCCTGGCCAGTGTGATCAGCCACTGCTTGCATGACCTAACCAGTCTTTCTCGTTTGTTTGTTAGACTCTGAAAGGCAATGCTCAGATAAATAGACTGCCAACAAGCCCCTTCATTCTCCTTACTGTTGCACTGGACTTTTCCTCCCTCTTCAAGTAACTCTCCATCTCTTTTTTTTTTGATTCTGCTGACACTGGTGGAAGGTCTCCACCATTACACTAATAAACATGTCGAGCAGAAGGAAGCATATAATCATGAAGGAGATAATGTAGAGTAGCATCCATTCGTTGTGATTCAACACAGGCTGAGAGGAGAAGAGTAGAGAGGAGACATCAAGGGTGCATTTATTACACTGATGTCTATAGAAGGCAAAACAACTTGTGTATAAATAACAGTGTAAACACATCAATAAGTTACTTTGCCAGCAGAAATACCTGTTGGTCCACTCCCACAGCATCCAGCCCATCATACATGATGTTCATCCAGCCATCTTTAGAGAACATTACAAACAAGCTCGTCAGAGCCTGAATGGGAAAGAGAGAAATAACTGGTAAGTCAACACTTTGTTCCCCAGGTCCTACCATTTCTTTCTCCAGTAAACACCTACATTACAGTTAAATGAATATGGTGCTTTTGTTTAACCAACTTAAAAAGAAACTAGACAGCACTCAGTGAGTGCAAACATCATCCAGTGTAATTGTCTGACTGTGTTACTGTAGAGAGATCCTTTGGAAATTCTGGTTTCAAATCTCCATCATAATTTACATAATGATAGATCACGTGATCATGCTGATTGGCTGAACATGATTTTTATGACAAAATCTAAAACCTGTGCTGTGTGCTCGGTGGGTTAGTCCATACCTGAAGCAGGTTGTAAAAGTTGTAAGTCTTTCGTACCCAGAGGTAGCTGGCCGCCAGGCATTCAGTCTTGTTGGTGATGTTTCTTACGTCCTCACCCACACAGCAGTAGAACCTCCCTCTGAACAACTGCAGTGTTTGTGTGAGATAAAGACAGAGACAGAGTGTCTATAGTGTTATTTTATCACTGTCCTGACATCATCTCAGTTGCATCAAAGCTAATAGGGAATATTGGGGAGGAAACATGACAAGAACAAAATTATAATAAACAAAGCCCGGCTGTCTCCTGGTAAGAGAGCGACAGACCCAGCTCCAGCCACATCAACGCAGAGGGACCCTCAGACTCGTGAAGATTTACTTGTTTGTTGGAGTAATATATAAATTTGATTTAATGCCACATGTTTATTTACATGGCAATTGCATTTATCATATTTTAATAGTGATTTTTAATTTATAAAATGTTTGTCATTAGTTTGTTATTTTAAAGGGGCTATATGTAAGTTTTTGAATTTAATAAATCAAATTGTCATTGCCTTATTGTCAGTGGGCTCAAAACTCACTCAGAAATGAAGCACACGGCTGTTTTCTCTGTTGCTTGCATCAGCCACTATTCTGCTTTTAATGTGAGGTCTCTGGGTCCGATTCAGCCCTGTGCGCGCTCCTGAGCCTCTCTCAGACTACAGCGACAACACGGCAGCCCACTAACACCATAAAACAACCGGCTCACAGCAAAACACACGCTTCACGTAAGGATCCAAAACAACAATAAAGGTTTATGTGCTGAAGCCAATCAGACCAAACAGGTTCAGATGATGCCGAGTAAGAACAAAGTGAGCATTAGTAAAATTGGAGAAACACAGAGAAAGTCACGTTAGTTCGCCGGCTAACGCAGAGCAGTTGCTAATGTTATCAAAGTTAGATAACGTTAGCTTTCCACATTACTTCACCAACTAATGCCACCCATGTTACTATCATGTGTACCACTGTTGATTTAGTCTGCAAGAAAGGATGAAACGGCAAAAAGCAAATGTGGAGCAATTTGTTTACTATCGTTAGCCAATAGTGATGCAGCCAGGAGCAGCCAGCTAACACTACAGTAGCTCGGACCTGCCGCTGTTTTCTTTGTAACATTCAGTTTATGTTTATTTTGGTTTTACCAATACTCAGGTACACAGCTTCTCCACCTCTCAGTCGTAACTAACATCACCCACATAACATAAAACACTGCAACAAAACAGTCACGAGGAAGGAAGAGCCATCCACTAACACTAGTTACAGTAAAGTTACTGACTAACTGTTATAAAGTGTGACACAGTCTCGTTAAAATATTCAGTCCAGCTCACTAACCGTTTCATTATCATCCAGTACATGTAGCTGTGCTGACATTGCTGAGCCTCCAGAGACAGATTCACAGATAGTAAAGATAGTTACTGAAAGCAGCGGGCGAGCTAACGATGTAGCACGTCTGCTAAATGCAGTAAATGTACTGTGATCATGTAACGAGCATGGATTAGTTCAACCTGCAGCTGATAAAAATATTACTGTAACGTTGCAGTGGGAGTTTCCAGCTCTGTCTGTTCTCCCTGCCTGTCTATAGCCGCTGTCACTCTGCCTTTTTTCGGGAGTATTGTGCTGATATGCGGCTCGCTGCGCTGAATGAAAGGTACCACGCCGGTGTTGATCTGCCTCTGAGACGGGAACGTTGAAGTAACAGAGCCTGAACATGTCTGTGTGAGAAGCCACAGCCTGCCTGCAGGTGTTTCTGCGTTTATTGCAGGATTTCTGTATGACAGTGGTTGTGTTTTGGATTATGCTCGCTCGTGAGTTCAAGCGAGCACGTGTACGAGCCCAAACCTGGTTGCAATCTTAGAACCGCACCGCTAGTGGCCGCTGGAAACTACATAATGTCCCTTTAAATTCTGAACACATAAATACCTAATATGTTGTCTAGGACTGAGGTCCACTTACTTTAAGGGTTGGTGGGTGTTGCTGGACCGTTTGTGAACAGGTAACAAATATAGAGCATGAAAACTTGAACAGCTGTAAAATACTTTTAGACAGGAAGTGCAAACTTGATCTTTGAAAATGGCAGATCTTTCTCATACAGGGGGAGACAAGTGTCCCAGTTCCATAGTACATACAAATGGAAGCGCTTGCATCAAAGTCTACTGTTTTTGCAATAAATCATGCAGTTACACACATTTTGGAAATGAGGAAGGAAATGAAATAAATGCACTGATCATGTCCCCCAATCACACTGTGGCCTTGGAACGCTACTGTCAAGGAAAAAACTAAATTTTTTTCAAAGATTAAATACTGTTTTGTTGGATCTTACCTGAGCTGCCTCACCCTGGACTTGCTCTCGAGCACGGAGCCGCTCCTCGTAAGCAAGTGCTAGTTCCTCAATCTCTTTATCTTGCTGATACTGCAGCAGCATGATTTCAGAGGACCACTGGTGGACGCTTCCTGAGAGACCAGCACACCGCCTTTTAAACATGAGATTGCTAATGCTGGCAACACTTCAAGCTGTCCTAACTGGCAAGTTGTCAATATGACCTTCTTACGACCCTTTGGAAGGCCTAGGTCTTTAGTTTGCTTATTAAACAATCCCACACTGAGACATTGTGCAAAATCCTCCACATTAACCATCTTTTCACCAGGGAGACACCAGTCAATAAGTGTTTAAACAAAATGGAGACAAAGAATCCCACTAACTAGTCCACGGGCCAAGCCTGAATTTGGTACCAGTTTGTTTTTAGGGTCAATAAGTATTAAGTACTACATCTATTCGTGCTGTTGCAAGAAGGTTTGTTGTGTCTACCAACACAGTCTCAAGATCATGGAGAAGATACCATGAGACTAGCCGTTACACAAGGAGAGCTGGACAGGGCTGTAGAAGGGCATCAACCCAGCTGCAGGACCAGTATCTGCTGCTTTGTACGAGGAGGAACCGGAGGAGCACTGCCCGAGCCTTACAAAATGACCTCCAGCGGGCTGCTGGTGTGCATGTTTCTGACCAAACTGCCAGAAACAGACTCCATGAAGGCGGCATGAGGGCCCGACGTCCTCTACTGGGATCTGTGGTCACACCCCGTCACCATGTAGCTTGACTGGCATTCACCTGAGAACACCAGTATTGGCAGGTCCGCCATTGGTGCCGCGTTCTCCTCACAGATGAGAGCAGGTTTACACTGAGCACATGTGACAGACATGAAAGCGTCTGGAGACGCCGTGGTGAACATTATGCTGCCCGCAACATCATCCAGCTGGACTAGGTTGGCGTGGTACAGAGGAGACATATCCTTGGAGGGTCGCATAGACCTCCAAGTGCTAGCCAACAGTACCCTGACTACTGTTAGGTACCAGGATGAAATCCTCAGAGCCATTGTCAGACCTTATGCTGGTGCAGTGGGCCTGGGTTCCTCCTGGTGCAGGACAATGCCCGGCCTCTTGTGGCCAGAGTGTGTAGGCAGTTTCAGGATGATGTTCCCCAGACCTGAATCCAGTTGAGAACCTCTGGGAAGTTATGTATCAGTGCATTCGACAACACCAAGTAGTGCCACAGACTGTCCGGGAGCTCACTGAGGCCTTGATCCAGGTATGGGAGGAGATCCCCCAGGACACCATCCACGATCTCATCAGGAGCATGCCCAGATGTTGTTGGAAGTGGATACATGAACGTAATGTTACTCTCCTAGACGGCCATGGACGTGTACCCAAGACAGGCAAAATGTCAAATTGTGTTCATGCACAAAGATAACAACCCAGAGGGAGACAATATCGCTTATTCCTACCGGGAGAGGTAACTCCAAAGGCTAATGGTGATTCTTGCATCATCTTGTCACAAGATCTCTGACGTAATTGCTGACGTAATCTGCACTCTGCGCATGCGTTGGCGTCTGTAGCCACCTGTCGGAAGCTCCGTCTTAAACCGGACTCTTATCCAGTTTTAATCCACTCTTTTTTCGTTACATTTTTTATATCCTTTGTATTTAACTTAACTTTATTTTAAGTTTTACGTGGGTTAAGGATTTTAGTCATCCGACATGGATTTTAAGCTAGATGACTGTAAAAACGCGATCAACGCTACTGATCGCAACAAAGCTCCGGTGACTATGCAAGCCGAGATAACTCTGCCCCATGAGGACTGCTCACTCCTTAAGAAAGCGAACAAGAAGATTGCTGACCTTATGGAAGACATCCGACGACTTTCAGAGGAACTCAAAGAGAAAGATTCCCTGCTGACTGGCTTTATGGATGTAGCTTCAGTACAAGCCAAACAGATTGTTTCTCTTAGCACAACCGCTAACATCCAGGACACCGTGTTTTGGGACCCCTCTAGTCTTCCCAGGCTTTCATCCTGCTCGACTCCGAAGCATCAGTCAACCTGGGCTGAAGTGGTGGTCCGTGGCTGCAAGAGAGGCTCGGATGGGGCTGCCTCTCCTCCGCACATCGTCCTCTCCAACCGCTATGCAGCCTTGTCTAACGACACTCCGGTCCATCCAGCTGATGCACCTGCGGCTTCGAGTCTCCCTGATACGGACCTCTTTCGGCGCACAGTGCCTGCCGACACTGTTGCATCTCCTTCACCGGCTACATCTCCTGCACTGGGCCGCCGGTCTGCCGCCGGACCTGATCGGCGGCCGTCATCCCGGTCAAAAACCTCCGCTTCCCGACGTAGGATCCTGAAGGAGGCTGTGCTCAGACGCTCCGGAGGCCGTCTCTACCCTGCACCGTCGGGTAGCTCTTCTCTCAGGTCTGTTACTGCTACTCCAACACAACACTCGGCAGCTCACACACTCCATCCTCAGTCCGCACGCAGTGTTGAAGCAGATTCTGCTCAGTCCTGCTCTGGAACCCCACAACCGGCATCTCCTCGTCCTCTTTTCTCCCCAACCACACTAATAATTGGTGACTCCATAACCAGAAACCTCCGTTTCTTTAACGCTACCACTCAATGCTTCCCCGGTGCCACCACAGCGGACATTTAAAGAAAACTCCAGGACCTGATGCCGTCGCTCCCGTCCTCCATCACAAGAGTGATAGTCCATGTCGGAACAAATGACACAGCTCTTCGGCAGTCTGAGCTGACAAAATTAGATTTTAACCGTCTTCTTAACTTTTTAAAGCAGTGTGGAAAGTCCGTTTTTATCTCTGGTCCCATTCCCACAGTCGGTCGCGGTGCTGGCCGCTTCAGTAGACTCCTTGGCCTCCACGACTGGCTCCAGTCCGCCTGCAGGGCTCATCGTGTGTTTTATGTGGATAATTTTAATATTTTCTGGCAAAGAATGTCTCTTTTTAAGACAGACGGACTTCACCCAAACAAACGGGGCTTAGAAATGTTAGCTGCGCACATACAGCATGTGGTGCGGTCCACACATGATTTACGTGAATGACTAATCATTCATGCAGCACACCTGGACACACCACCGCTCACTGAACAGATCTCTGGCTCACTGCCACAAACAACTGTCTCCACCTGCTGGCATGTAAAGCCGTCTGCTCCCAGCGCTGTTCCACAGACTTCTATTCCTGTCATCATCACGCATAGACCAGTAAACCGAAATGTGCACATCCCACACAGAAATATTAGTAATCTCTTAAGGATTAGGACAACTGCACCAACTCCAGCACCCAGAACAAACTCATTTAAAATGGCTCTCTTCAATGTGAGATCACTTTCAAGTAAGACTTTTATTTTAAATGATTTTATCTTGTCTGCTAATCTAGATTTTATGTTTTTAACTGAATCCTGGTTGCAAATGAATGACTATACCCAACTAGCTGAACTGTGTCCGCCTCAATATGATTGCTTTAGTCAACCGAGGGTCAGTGGTCGTGGTGGTGGGCTAGTGAGCGTGTATAGGAAAAATTTTAAATGTCATCAAGTACGCTGTGATGAATTTAACTCCTTTGAAGTTCTCACTCTTAAAGTTGGAGGGCTGCAACCTATCATATTTGTTATAATTTATCGCCCCCCAAAACCGCCTGGAGGATTTTTATCAGAACTTCCTGAATTTTTATCTACTCTGGTTTTAAATTATGACAGAATTGTTCTTTGTGGCGATTTTAATATTCATGTTGATGACCCCAACAATGTTAATGCAACTGACTTTTTAAATATGGCCACTTCTTTTAACTTCAAACAACATGTCAAAGGGCAAACACATAACCGTGGTCATACACTGGACTTGGTTTTTGTCAGCATTTCCTCTGTGGAATTAGTGGACATGACCATATCTGACCACAGATGTATTGTTTTTAGCTGCGATTCGCCTGTTACTCATGCCGCCTCACCAAGCTCCGTGTGTTGTCGCATCTTTAATGAACAAAGTGTTTCAAAGTTTTGCGCATTCTTTCAGAGCCAAAGCCAACACCTGTCTGATTCCAACACCAACAATCTGGTCGATCACTTCAATCATATCTGCTTGTCATCACTAAATATTACTGCTCCTCTAAAGGTTAGGCCTACGTCTAAAGCTAGTAAGCAACCCTGGATAAATGACAGCATTCGCAGCCTCAAAAGGGAATGCAGGAAAGCAGAGCGCAGATGGAAAAAATCCAGTCTCCAAGTCCATTACCTCAGTCTGAAGGATTTATTAATTAACTACAATAAAATGGTTAAGGATGCGAGAACACACTATTTTTCTGAACTCATTACTACACATAAACACAATCCCAGGTTTCTGTTTAAGACTGTGGATCAGCTGGTAAACCCAACCCCTCCTTGTGCCTCAGCTGGAAGTAATGATGACTGTGAATTGTTATCTTATTTTACCAATAAGGTGGTGTCAATCAGAGCCTCTATTACCCCCGTGGCCTCTTACTCAGAGGTCCCTCACCAGCAACAAGAGAGTTTTAACCATTTTTATCCCATCGACTTGTCTGAGCTTTTAAAAACAGTATCACAAATGAGAGTGTCCTCCGGCCCACTTGATATAATACCTACAAAATTTTTACTGAAAGTAATAGATTCTGTTGGGCCCCATTTGATCTCTGTTTTCAACAGCTCCCTATCTACTGGTTGTGTCCCTGATTATTTTAAAACGGCTTGCGTGAACCCACTTTTAAAGAAACCTGGTTTAGATCCCTCCCTCCCACATAATTTTAGACCAATTTCAAAACTGCCTTTTATTGCAAAGATTCTAGAAAGAATTGTGTCCAAACAGCTGCTCACTGTGCTGGAAAATAACAAATTATTTGAAAAGTTTCAGTCTGGTTTTAGGAAGTACCACAGCACTGAGACTGCCTCGCTTAAAGTCACCAATGACCTTTTAATGTCTGCTGATGAAGGTATGTGCTCAGTCCTTGTACTCCTGGACCTTAGCGCTGCTTTTGACACCATTGATCACAACATCATGTTAGACAGACTGAGGCACTGGGTGGGGATCTCTGGTACTGCCCTAGAATGGTTTTCATCCTACCTGTCAAATAGGAAGTTTTGCGTGTCTGTAAACAACTATGTCTCTTCATTCTCTCCAGTTAAATATGGTGTGCCTCAGGGGTCGGTCTTAGGACCCATTTTGTTTTCCTTGTATCTGCTTCCCCTTGGACATATTATCCATAAACATGGCATTTCTTTTCATATTTATGCTGATGACACACAAATATACTTGCCCGTCAGATCCACAGACCCTGGAATGCTGAGTTCACTTAACAACTGCCTTTGTGAAGTTAAAAAATGGATGTCAAATAATTTCCTCCAGCTGAACTCAGACAAAACAGAAATCCTGGTCATCGGGTCTCAGCAGATGGCAGTATTTGATTTGATACTGCCATCTGCTGGTTCCCTAGTAAATCACATTAAGCCTGTGGCAAAGAACCTTGGTGTTTGGTTTGATAGTAATTTAAATTTCGAGCAGCACACCACAAAGCTTGTTCAATCACGTTTTTATCAACTTAGAAATATAGCTAAAATTAGATCAATGTTAACTTTTAAGGACACCGAGACCATTTTACACGCCTTCATCTCATCACGCCTGGATTATTGCAACAGCCTTTTCACCTGTTTAACCCAAAAATCTATTGATCGACTCCAGACTGTCCAGAACTCAGCTGCCAGGCTTTTAACCAGAACAAAGAAATATGACCACATTACTCCTATTTTAGCTTCATTACACTGGCTCCCAGTATGTTTTAGAATTGACTTTAAAATTCTATTGATCACTTTTAAAGCTCTTCATGGCCTCTCGCCTTGTTATATTTCTGACCTTTTAGTCCCATACGCACCAGCACGTACCTTGAGATCCTCGGGCAGAGGTCTGTTGTCTGTTCCAGAGTCTCGACTGAAAACTAAAGGGGACAGAGCGTTTGCTGTCAGGGCCCTGAGGCTCTGGAACAGCCTGCCGGCTGAGTCAGTGAACTCTTTTAAGTCCCTTCTTAAAACATACTTTTATAGGAGAGCTTTTCCCGATCTTATTTGACTTTATTTTATCCCTTTTATTTTATTATATTTTACTAATTTTATATTAAATTTTCATGCTCTTATCTTTTTTTGTATTATTCTTTACACTTGTTAAAGCACTTTGTAACTTGTTTTTGAAAAGTGCTCTACAAATAAGGATTATTATTATTATTATTATTATTTATTATTATTATAATGTCCTCTAATGCCTCACACCAGGAAAAACCTGCTAATTAACCTGCACAATTTTAACAATTTTGGCTTTATTCCCACCCCAGGACACTCAAATTTTTTTTCAAACCAACCCATTCGTTTCTTTGCTGAACTTCCTCCTGATTAAGGCCTAATTAACACTTTCAGCTAGTCAAATTGAACCGAATGCGCAATTCCAAGTATGTACTATTACTGAAAAAACACCTGTTAACTTCACTTCAAGCACACATAAACATAAAAAACATAACGTTTTTATTTTACCAAACTACACAGGAACATAAACTTTAAGGCAAACCTGGAAATCATAAATATTCGTAATGTCATGAGTGAATGGGTGAGTGTAAAATGTAGTTAGTATAAAAGGAAAATCTACATAAAATGTCAACAACAAAGAGATGGTGCGTCCCCCGGGGTGATGCATGGTGATGTGGGAAACAGGGGAAATATTGGGATGTATTTTTTTATTGCTGGCTTTGGGGTCCAAGTATTACTATTAAAAGCAAAAAAATAACAATTAAATAAATATCTGCCCGGCTCCTGTTGCTTGCAAAGGGGCTATTATTAGCAATTTTATAATTGGCTATATTTTGCTGTCACTATCTGGCATATGAAACAATTTATTCTCTTATAGAATCATTGATACTGTTTTATTTATGCAGGAATCATGCACATTTACATATTATGTTTCACATTCATTTTAATATTTAGAAAAAAAATATATATCAGAAAAGACAGAACAGCACATATCTATGGGCTAAACGTTTTACAAAACAAAACAAAACAAAATCTACAAATCTGAACGATCAGCAGATGTTTTTACACAGGCAGGGCACACCAGGTCACAGAAGTTAAGATGAGCAGCAGCCACTGAACAGATAGGCCGAAATACACACAGAAAGACAGACAGACATGTTTTTAGAGTCAGGAACAGACAGATTCTCAGGTATAACACCTATGTTTATTTTGGATGTTATCTGTGACACAGTTGCTAATCAAGTAATCAGTTTAGGCTTTCATAGGGAGGCTACATTGCCCCTGGAAAATGCACTTTCTTGTTTAATCTGTCAAAACATAATCTGTGTACAGAAATGTTTGAAAAGTGTGTGTATGTGTGTGTGTGTGTGTCTTGAAGGTGGATTCTAACATCTTGGATAAGTCCAATGACCTGAAGCAGCTGAGAGAGCAGATTCGCAAGCTGGATGAACGAGTGGATTTGGACATGCAGGTACAGTCCATGTAGTTCCGTCTGCTGTATGTTGGCAGAAATGCCACGTTACTACATGCAAAGTTGGCATCCACTAAATGGTACACATGGAACAAATGTAACCAAAGTTAGACAAGATGGTATTTCTTTTGGTGTCAGTTCAGCGCTGAACTATTTGTCTTCTAAACTGAAAAACAGGAATGAGTTCACACTTGATTGGTGACATACAGAAAATGCACAGTTTCCTGTCTGTTTTATGCTTGTATAGGAGCAGACCAGAGAGGAACAGCACTGGGCAGAAGAGATGGAGTCAGTGGAGAACCATCATAAGGTTCTTGAGAAGAAGGTTAATTATGGTTACGACGAGGCTATGCAACCCCTTTACCTTTGTTTGTGGCTACTTTGCACAACATCAGTGACTTGACTGTGGTTGGTCTTCATTTCAGAGTTGTGTTATATTGAAGCCACTAGGGGGCAGCACACACCTCTGGCTGCTAACGTTCAGTGGCCTTTTTGTTATATTCTATTTCATACATTCATTCAGTTTTTTTTTGTTTGGTCAACTGAAGTAGTGACATTGCTTGTGTCTCAGTGTAGGATAGACTTACAGAATAACTGTATTAACAACCTCCACAGTCTCTCAGCTCCTGAAATCATCTGAAATGACTGACCTTTTTTTTTTTTCCTACATGTTCTCACTTTTCCAAACACACATTTAAGTTTAGTCAGAAACAACATGTTGATTCAGTGTATGAGATGAAATGTGTTTCAGACATATTCATGCTTCTTTGGTAGCATTTGTATTCTACAAACCCAATAAGCTGTGAATGTATGACTTCAGATATTGGTGCGGACCAGCACTGGTAGTTAAAAAAGAAATGGCAGGCATTGTTTCCATTTGTGTCAGTCTCATTTATCCTGTTTTTTCCATGCACATTAGAGCATTGAAGTTCCACATATAAGCCAAAGCCCAATAAAACCGACTGGCTCATTAGCAAATGAAACGTTTATTTTAGGAGTGAATGTTTTCTGCGCTTCTGGCAGGCGCATTCACTGCAAATCCTTTGGCCAAGGCGAAGTTGGCAGCAAGGACACAAACAGGAAGTGGGGCATGTCTCTCCACAATGCATTCTCCGTGTCATGGTCAGTATCACTCATTGTACCTGTTTCCAATGAACTCTGCATGCTTGGCCTTCAATATTAGTATACATTTTTTTCTCTTCTGTATAATCTATAGAGATTCAATCCAGATATCCTGTGGCAATCTGAATACAATTCAAAACCACAATTTGGGTTCACTTCTCTTTTAAAAAGTTTTTTGAGAAGCTTTACATTTTTTTGTATCCTGTAATACCCGCCCTTATCCAATGTTTGTCAGACTTTCTTATGAAATTTTAGGGTTCACACACCCATAAAGATCTTTTTCAAATAAAGACGTCTGTTTTCCGATTCAGCTGCTCTAGTTAGACACAGCGTTGCTGATTTATGGATTCACGGAAGTGCATCTTTGTCCAATTCACTCATGTTGTTCCACTTTAAAGGGAGAATCTGCCTTAAACAATAATACTGTTAAAATTAACCTTTAACAATGCACCTATTGTTTCTACATTCATTATGTTTTGATTTTTTTGGTTGTGTTTTTTTGTAGTTCCTATTGAAAAATGCCAAAGTTTACAAGACTTAAAGAGGTGATATTATGCTCATTTTCAGGTTCAAAATCTTATTTAGAGGTTGTACCAGAACAGGTTTACATGGTTTAATTTTCAAAAAACACCATATTTTTTGTCATACATACATTGCTGCAGCTCATCTTTCCACCCTGTGTTGAAGGCTTCGTTTTAGCAGTGGAGTGATATATCCTGTCTCTAAATGATCTTTGTTGGGAGTTGCACATGCGCAGTTCCTAGTTAAAGACTACCAGCCGATCAGAAGCAGAGCCAGCATTATGATTATTATTTTCATTGTGATGCCACAAGAAAGGGAAGTAAAGGCCTACTACAAACGAGCTGTTTTCAGGGAATTCAGAGCAGTGTTTTCTGTGGGAGATGGGAACTCCCTTTGGGGTGGACTACGGGCTTTTTCACTTTGCAAACCTAGTACATGCACAAAAAAGATATATAACTCAATAAAGGAGAGGGAAAAAGCCAAAAACCATAATACCACCTCTTTAATGCATCAACATGGAGGGATAATTTTGCAGCAGAAATATGTCAAAGTCAATTGTTTACTTTAGTAAAAGAAATTGTTAGCTATAATTATAATCAGTGTTTTTTTTAATTAATTTTTCAAGCACAAATGCCAAACATTCACAATGGGAAATTTGCTGCCTTTCTCTGTTTTGTATCCTCATAAACTGAATATCTTTGGGTTTTGGACTGCTGAGGATGCCACCTTGAGTGCTGAGAAATTGTAACATACATTTGTTTAACCATTGTTTGACATTTAAAATCACTAAATAATCATTCAAAAAAAGAATCGTCAGTAATGAAAATAATCATTAGTTGCAATCCCATAATATATATATATATATATATATATAAATAATTTAACTAATAATAACTTGATCATAAACTTGATTATATCTACCAATGATTCTGTTTGAAAGCGTTGCAAAAAAAGGCTGAAGTGCCATCTTGGGAGATGGCCCCAACTTAAAACTCCACATCGTTTCAATACAGTACAGTTGAAGACGTTTGAAAGCTGTCAGTGCTGCAAGCGTGAGAGAAATGTTTTGGCAGATGTGATGAGGAGAGATGAGGTGATTGTGAGTGGCTCCATGGAGAGAGGGAATGAAAAATGTGATGGATAACTTCCACCACTAGCAGAGGCAACCCCAGTGTATTTTGTGTGTGGGTGTGTGTGTTGGATGGGTCGGTGGAGAGGAGAAGAGGGGCTGTGTAGGAAGTTAAAGGAAAGGCGAAAGGCCATGATGTTAACAGCTCCAGCATTAATTCACCTAAATAGGACAGACCTTCATGTGTTTATCAGATCCCCAATGGACAGGTGGCATCCATAAAAGCCATTTTACAAGACGTGAATGCGTGAATGTGTGAATGTGTCTTTGCATGTGGGAGAAAATGAATGTCATGATCTGTGTATCTTTGTACGCCCAGAGGCCTAAATGTGCATGTGTGTGACATATGCTCTCAAATTGGTGCAGGAATTTGAGCGCTTCTTTCTGTTTCTATGCTTCTTTACATGTTGTGTGGTTATTGTGTGAGTGTAGTATAGTTAGTTTGTCCTGTATTGCCTGTGGCCCTCAGCCTATTTTGTCATGGATAATTGCATTCAAAGACATGCACCATGAATTGTTAATACACTGTATGTTCCTGCCCTTACACAGGGGAAGTCAGTGTGACCCAGTGGAGGGCAAAAGCTGAACTTTTCCAGGGATTGTGTGTGTGTAATGCTCACGGGGCCTCTAATAAGAAAGGAGATGTAAAGAGGAGGGGGCGGTGTGTGGGTGTATGGCATGCACATGAGACAGAGACTCGGGTGCCAAGAAAAAAAAGCCCAAGATGTAAAAACAGAGCTAAAATTCAAAGGTTATCTTTTCCCCTGCTCCCTGACCTGGGGAAGGTGTATGTTGTGTCTTTATCGTGTACCACAAGGCTTTCAGCAGCTAATCTGTCATACCAGAGACAGGCAGACACATTAGAGCAGCGAGGTGTTAATGTGGAGTCTTATTAGGGGTTAATCTCACCCATCCGCCACAAAAATAATCTGTTCTACAGATGTGGGAAATGGGGGCAGAGAGAAAGGGGAAAATAAAAAGAAAGAGAGAGCTGTCTTATAATTCCATGCTCTCTATGATTTTCTTTCTCCCAGCTTCCTGTCAAAACACCATTGTGTATCTAAAATCTGTCTTTGTCTTGGACCTACATTATGACTAGCTCTGGCATTTTGATTTCTGTTCCAGCAACTAATTGTCTCCAGATTCTGAAGACAAATCAACTGCTGTTATAGCTGTGGTGCAAACACGCAGAGAAATGACGCAACTGTGATTGTAATGAGATTCAGATTCTGAAAACTGTCATCTTGTTGCACAGGCGAGGCAAGTGTTGATATATCGACTTCAGCACAGTTGTTAATAAAAATAACACAACAATTACAGAACTAATAAAGCATCCTTTTGCTGCTGTCAGATATATCCTTTACCACAGTATGTGCAACATTTGCTCTTTGCAAATGACTTTTTTTCCATCTGATGCGTTGCTGATTTTGAAAAGAATGTTGTGCAGGATTCACAACTGTCTGAGTTAAGGGTAGTTTATTCTTTGTGTCCTGTAGACTGTGCAACATCTGCATGTCTGCATGGATTTGAAATGAATTAAAGGTGAGTACTTACAGATAGACAGACAGAAATGTAGATTAGACAGCTTTGTATGCAAAATATGCAAATACGTAATGCGCAATACATCTGATGTGCAACTTTACATCCTCTTCCAGGAGAATGTCTGCATACAAGGGGGAAACATAATTGTCATACTAATCATCTGATTGTTTAGTGACCTGCAGCTGGCCGGACAGGCCTTTCCGTCATATTTGTTTTCTCGACTCTGGTCAATTTTTGGGAAATCTTTGGTTGTGTATCAAGGCAGTTGTCATAATGTGTATTGAATATATGCTTTTTTGCTCAATACATGTAAAAGTAATTTTAAATACAGTGCTGATTTAAAAACATCAATGAGACTCATTTCATACTCTTTCCACTTCCATGTGCAGGCTCTTCTTGTGAGACTATAGCTCAGTTTTCAATACAATCAGGTACCTAAAGCTACATATAAAACTAGCTGATCTTGACCTTCTCACCAACAAACCTCAAACAGTGATACAACAAAGTCTCTGCAGAGCTAACACAACACAGTCGCCTCTCCAGGGCTGCTGTACTGTTCTCACTACAGTGTCAACTACTTATCCATTAAACGGGCACACTGATTCTCCACTTGAAGACATTTTACTCATCATGGGGAGTAATACTCTGCCCATGAAAACAGTTGCATGTCCTATGTTGCTCTGGAGTTTGGCAGTTTAGCCGCAATCAGGCACCAGACGTGACCATATTTTGACGAGACGGTGGCGCTAGCAAGCTTGGTTAGCTTAGTGCAACTGTAATTCACACAAACTCTGATTTGAACTGGATGCTAATTTTGGCAAGATAAAAACAGGTTTAAAACGTACTTACCGGAAAAATTAATAACCTACTCCTAATAAGCGTGTTCAAAGGCACTGGTAAAAGTTACACAGTGCGGTGACTTCCTTATTGGCTTCAGTCGTGAGAGCTGGAGGTTGCCACTTGTTTGACCCACACTAACGACTAAAAGTCAGGACATCTCAGTCTCTGCTGCTTCAATTTTGATCATGCTTATTTCAAACTGTCTCTTGTGAGACCCCCAGTTTTATGGGTGCGTGTCATGATACATCGCTGGAGTACCCCTTTTACAGTCCTCGGCTTGCAACACTTGCAAAACTGTTTCACAAAAATGCAGCGTAAAGTGCCTGCGAGTGACAGCTTTTTCCGCGGGCTCTCCTACTGTTCCTGCCACATAGGCCAGTTGTTCCTTCTTGTTATGGTTCCTTTGATGGTTCCTTTGATGACAGTGTGCTGTATTGACATTATGGCAGCTTCCTGTGTGCCTTCAGCGCATGTTGACAGTTTCCTGTGTGTTCAGCCTCAGTGTGAAGTGCTGTAATCAGGGTGTCTTTTGTTGAATAATAGATTCAATGAGTGACCGGCTTACACACAGCAGGTTTTTCCATTTCAGCTCGCTCATATTTCAGCTATGGCATGAAGCATAACAGTTACTCAAATGTTATCCTTTTGTGTTGGGACAATGTATCCACAGAATCCAAAGTATGGAAGATTCACCACAGCCAGAAAACAAACTGCTAGAAACCTTCTTAGACTTCACACATGATGTTATTGGTGATTATAGCTTGTTTTGTAGTTTATCCCCAAGTTCAAATTCTCATTTTAATATAAATACAAATGACTGAAGG